GGGGAGCTACTATACACATATGGCAAATTTTCCTCAATTCCTCTTTTTTTTTTTCCTTACATTACATATCAATGCTGCATTAGGTCCTTTAACTTCTCCAAAGTATTTGTCGACTTCTTACCCAATCCATCTACTTCTCTCACCATCTCTCCTACTACCTGATTGAAGCTCACTATCTCTCCCTCAACCACCTGGTTGAAGCCACCACCACCTCTCACTTGGACCACAGCAAGTATCTCCTAGCCAGTGGTCTATTTTGCTGCTTACTCCCTACAATCCATTTTCCACACAAAGCCAGAGTGAGCTTTTAAAACGTAAATTAGATCACCCTATTATTTTGCTGAATATCTTCCAACTTCCTAGAATCAAATGACAGCTCCCAACCCTAGCACCAGAGCTTCCGGTCTGACTGCTGCCTACCCCTCCCCTCAATAACCAGGCAACGGTAACACTCTCCCCCTCCGCTTGCATCCCAGCTGTTCCCACCCTAAAGCTTTGTAATAGCTATGCCCTTGCCTGGCTCCCCGCCCTCTGCCTTTGAGTTTTTATTTTAAATGTCACCTCTGCAGAGGCCTCCCTGACCACTTGATTTTAAGTAGCCATCCCTCATATAGCCCTTCCTGCAAACAGGAAGGAGTGAGTCCCTTCTTCCCCTCACCCCCAGGCTTGCAGTCTTTCTCTCCTGCTCTTCGTTGGCAGACCTAAATAGGGATCCAGCTGGCAAGTGGTTTGCACAGTTTCATCTCTAGCAACACAAAGGTAAGTTGAGAAAGAGTGGAGAAGGGTTTGGAGGCAAAAGAAAATAGATTGATACCTGGCAAAAGTACTTATCACTTTTATTTTTCTTATTTATTTATTAATGTATTTGAGGTTTGCTTCTCCCTGCTATGAAATTGAATCATGTGAAACTCAGCTCTCAAACCCCAAAACTCTTAAATATTAGCAATTTCATATGGTTTTGACCTAACAGATTAAGTTCCTGTGGGCAGGATTTCATCAGTCTTCCTCAAAGTCTAAGTCTAACATGAAGATCAGTGTCCATTAAATGTTTGTGAGTTAATACAATATTGAATTCCTGATGAAGTGTTTAACACCAAAACATAAAAAACATAATTTCACCTTTCTTTCATGACTAAAAAATACTTCATATTTTTGCCTCATTAATTTCTATTTTATTTCTATTAATTTCTATTTATTTCTATATTATGATAGTATAAAAATTAAAAGAAGGGTAGAATGGATGGTTAACACAATCCCAAATGAAATAAGGTTAATAGTATAAGATTGACAGTTTAAAGGATACTAGACTGAAAAGACACCTACAAAATGCTTCCTTGAGGTCCAGTCTGTTAAGTCTGGAGTTGAACTATATTTGCAAGCAGGCAATCTCAACCTAGTTTTTGGAAAAGCAATAAAAATCCTCAAAAAAGAATCTTTCTGTTTCAATTGCAAAAGACACTTTTCAAAATTAAAGTTCTCTCAGCCTTTTTTTTAAGATTTATTTATTTATTTATTCATGATAGACCTAGAGAGAGAGGCAGAGACACAGGCCAAGGGAGAAGCAGGCTCCATGCAGGGAGCCCGACATGGGACTCGATCCCAGGACTCCATGATCGCGCCCTGGGCCAAAGGCAGGCGCCAAACCGCTGAGCCACCCAGGGATCCCCTTCTCTCAGCCTTTTACTGTCAGAATAAATGACAAACCCAGAGTTTTCCATTCAAAGTTGGTTTTGCTACATATTTACACATATTTCACATGTAGACATTGTGCACTTTAAATCATTCATTAGTCGAATCTCTGTGCCTCAGTTTCCTCATATGTTCCCTTTAAACAATAATAGAACATAACTCATAGAATAGCTGTGAAGATTAAATTAATACAAGAAAAATACTTCAAACTCTTAAGTGCTAAATATACCCCATGGTTTCTACATTTCTAAGTATCTAGGAATCCCTGCATCCTGCAAATGCAGATTCCCTAAACCCAACTCCATAGATTCTAATTCACTACATCTGGCAGGAGGCCTACAGATCTGCCTATTTATTAAGCATCTCAGGTAAATAAAAGCAGCCAGTGCTGAGACAATAAGAAACACAAGTCAACTTACAAACGTAAGGGCAAGGTACAAAACACCAACTGCTACACTTTCCAACCAAACTCTGCTCTCTCTGGTAACTCAATATGTATTCACTAACATTTAAGCTAAAATTACATCAGGAAAAAAATTTAAATGCACTATTTTATCACCCATTTCCAGTGTCTCAAATGAAGGGCTCTTATAACACTCTCCAGTTGCGTTTCCACAGCCCAATACCAAACACAGCGCATTCTCCTCTGTCTTCCTCTAAAGCTGCTGGTCTTCTTCCCATCTCTTGTCATCATCTCAACTCTCAAATGCTCGTAAGTGGTCTCCATAGTCTTCTTAGATCATTCAACCAATAAATAGCAGATTCTTCTTGTTGTTCCTCTAAGGCAAGTCTCTCTGGTCCTTCATCATTTTGATTACTCTTCTTCTACATTCCATCCAGTACCAAAAACAAATCAGCAAATCATCTTCACGTATCCAAAGTATCAGAGGAGGTGATTAGCAGATATCAATGCAAACTGTGATTCAAGTTTAATGCATGACATCCTCACACGGCTTTAGGCTTTAATGGAATGGGGAAGAAGGAGCACGGAATAAGGGGAAGGGGACCTGGTCAAGAGGAGCCCATACCCATAACCAAATTCAGGGATAGTTGTTGTCACTATTGTTACCTTAGTATTCAGAATAACAATTGCACCAAAGAAAGTCACTAACCACATGTAGAAGGTGGCAAGTCCCAAAAGAAAACCCTCAGAAAAGGAAGTCAGCAAATAATGCAAATTAGATTTTAAATATATATATTTTTTCTTCAAAAATGATTGCTAAGTTGGGTAGCCTGGGTGGTTTAGCGCCGCCTTCAGCCCAGGGAGTGATCCTGTAGACCGGGGATCAAGTCTCCCTGCATGGAGCCTGCTTCTCCCTCTGCCTGTGTCTCTGCCTGTGTGTGTGTGTGTGTGTGTGTGTGTGTGTGTGTGTGTCTCATGAATAAATAAATAAAATCTTTAAAAAAAAACGATTGCCAGGTTGATGACTCTTAGCAAAGGTTGCCCTTCTTTTAAAGATCTGTGACTGGTAGAGTACTGAAGGGAACAGGGATTCATGTTAATTGCTTGGAGGAGAAGTTATTTTAGGTCCTGTATTTTAATTCAAGAGAGAAAAAAATTCCATAGCTTCCTGCTTGTGGACTGAATTTTTTTTTTTTAATGACCCTTCTCAAGAAAACTCAGGTTACCAACATAGCAGGGATTTACTTCTGAGTTAGTGAGGTAGGAAGAGAACTTCCAGTAGTTCGGAGATTCCCCTCAGGATATTTACAGACTTGAATTTTACAGCACCATCCACCAACAATCATCCTTCACTACACTGTCCTGGAGGAAGTGCCGAGGATCTTCATTCTCCATGGAAAGTCACAGATATAGCAAATTCCAGCTGACAGCCACAAGAGCCCTGCTGGAAGCAGAGCATTCTTTAACCCCTTCAGTAACCAAGACCTCAAGTCCAGGGACATCCTAGTTAGGAAATAGGGCCAAGGAAACTTCATATTGCCATTAAAAAAAAAAAAATTACCTTAATTTTACCTATCTTAATACCTGACCTTAATTATCTGGAAAAGTTCCTAAACCGTCACAAAAATAATCATATTCACTAACATTTGTTAAGCAACAATTTTGTGTGCAAAAGAATGTTCTAGAGGCCAGAGATACACCTCTTGGAGCTTATGTTATATTGGAGACCAACCTGGAGATTATCTGGTAGAAGAAAAAAGCAGAAAGTACAAAAGCCCTGAAGGGGCAATGTGCTTGCTAGAGCGTGGAATGCACAGAGAACATGGGTTCTCGAATGCAACAAAAGTGTGGAATGGACAAGCTGAAGATGTATGGAAGATTACATCTCAGAGGGAACCAGGAGTCAGATCTCATAGAGCTTTGTGAATAGAAAATACCTATTATCATGTCATGCATATTGGGGGGTGTGTGAAGGTGGTATTATTACTTTGGCATAAGGAAGCATTTCTTTCTCTCTCTTTTTTTTTTTTTTTTTTTTTGAGTGTGTGTTAAGTGGAATAACAGTAATCAAAGTTGGGAAAAATATGAATATCGCTCCAAAGGAAGTCAGGTGAATTAAGATATATTAAAAAAAAAAATAGCTTCCGAAGATGCCTTCACCCAGGGACTCACTAGAGGCCCCAAAGGAAAAACTTCATTATCCAGGAGTATCACACTCCCATTTTTTTTTTCTCCCACACAACAAGGCTGAGATTTAAGTCTCCATTCATTAACTCATAATCTCTAGATACCTCAGCTAATATTAATTTGGCTGATACTTTCTTTTTCTCTGTAGAACTTCCATTGCCTTCCATCCTGTACCACTGGTGACCCTTATCCCCCAACTGCACGGGAAGGTCACATTATAAAGATTTCTCGAATGGAGGAACCGTTTCGTTGGCCGTCGGTACGCTCACCGACCCTTGTTCCCTGGGCCCTATGTTAGGCAGCCTGAATGCAGTTAAGGCAAACAACCTAAAGACTAGCATTCTCTAAAATTCTTTCTTTTCTTTTTTTTTTTTTTTTAAGATTTCATTTATCTGTTCATGAGAGATAGAGAGAGGCAGAGACACAGGCAGAGGGAGAAGCAGGCTCCCTGCAGGGAGCCCGATGCGGGACTCGATCCCAGAACCCCAGGATCATGACCTGAGCCACAGGCAGGTGCTCAAGCACTGAGCCACCCGGGGGCCCCTATAATTCTTTCTTGTAGAGAAAGTGGGCGAATGGGTGTAGCCAGATGTGGAGGGAAGTGGGGAGGAACCGGTGGCAAAAAAAAAAAAAAAAAAAAAAAAACCCACAAACACAAAAAACTGGTCCCACAACCTCGGGGACCCAGGGGCCAGCTGCGAGCGCGAGGTGATGGACTCACTTGAACGCGAGGACGCGCAGCGGCGGGTAGAAGCTGCGGCGGGTGCTCAGCGCCGCGCGGTTGCCCGACGCCCCTGGAGACGACGCCCCTGGAGACGACGCCCCTGGGGGCGCGGGGCCGCGCCTCGGCCGAGGTTCCTGAACTCAGCGCGCAGGGAGGGGCCTGCCCGGACTCCCAACACCGCCTCCGCGCCACTGCGCATGCTCCTGGGCCCCGCTCCCCGCCCCGCCCTAAGGCCCCGCTCCCCGCCCCCGCTCCCCACCCTGCGAACCTGGAAAGCCCGCTCCCCCCGCGCGAGTCCCCGCCCGCCCCGCTCCGGACACCGGGCCGCGGGGTCCCGCCTGGCGCCCCCCGCCCCGCTCCTCCGCGGGCGCCCCCGGGCCCGGGCAGGGCGGGCCGAGCAGGTGCGCACCCCACGCGCGCCCGAGGAGAGTGGCGGCCGCGTCCCGGGAAGTGCCCGCTTGCAGCCCGCGCCCCGCGCCTGCAGCCTGGGCGTCGGGGGGGGGGGTGCCGCGGGGACCCGGAGCTGCAGAAGCCCCGTCCCGGCTCCGCCCAGGGTCTCCGCCCGCCCTGCGCGGGGGCTTCGGGGGCGCCCGGGCCGCTCGCCCTGAGCGCCCCTTGCTCTGCCCGCACCTCGCCGACGGCCCGGGGTCGGGGTCGGGGTCGGGGCTGCGCCCTGGGCTGGCTCCTGGAACATTCTTGAGATGATCAAGACTTGCGGAGCAAACTCCTCTTCTCGGTCAAGTGGATCACTCGCCTAGCTGGGTGTGGAGCCTGCTTAAGAGTCTCTCACCTTCCTCTGTCTCTCCCCAAACCTCTTTCGAGGGGGAGGGGGAGGAGGAAGAGGAAGGAGGAGGAAGAGGAAGAAGAAAGAGGAAGAGGAAGAATTATTTTTTTAAAGATTTTATTTATTTATTCATGAGAGACGCACACAGAGAGAGGCAGAGACACAGGCAGACGGAGAGGCAGGCTCCATGCAGGGAGCCCAACGTGGGACTCGATCCCGGGTCCCCAGGATCACGCCCTGGGCTGAAGGTGGCGCTAAACCGCTGAGCCACCCAGGGATCCCCAAGAAGAATTATTATTATTGGAGGACTTATTACCCCAGTTCGTGGGAGTGCTGAACCTTCAGCGGTGCCTTCCTGCAATTAATTATCTTGACCCAGGGTACCACCTGGAGTAGAATGTATCCAATACATTATACTCTTATCTATCTTCTTAGTATTACTTTTATCTTTTATGTCTATATGATGGAAATTATTTCTGATAGTATGCTATGGCACATCTTTTTAGAACTACACATTCAGTGACATCAAGTTGGTAGCTTGCAATCAGCTATGTTGGAAGTATTGATACCATGTAAATTGACAAGTGCTACAAATGAGGGCTGATTTATCGTTTTACTGATTATTTACACAGAATGTAATAGGAAAAATCGTAATAGTGTAGGTTAAATATAAACTATGTATTTCCATAGCCATGGCATTGCGAATAGCACAAAAAATTGAGAAAATATTATTTCAGCCTTAGAAAGGTGTTATCCCATTCAGCCAATTAGTCACATCATTAGCAAAGGAGTCAAGTTCTACTATACATGTTTGTTGTTTCACTTTATCTTACTCATAAAGTAAATAAAAATATTAACCAAAATTCATGTCAGAACTATATTCATTTGTCATAACCATAGATTGGCTAGGGATACAAGAATTGGGCAAAAATCAACAAAAGCATTCTGTAAGAATCTTTTGGCTGTATGGAATTTAAAATAAGGAATATTATTTATTTTATTGTTATTTTAAGATTGGGTGCTGCACATCCTTCATATCAGTAAAAATTGCAATAAATCTATTTATGTATATTGCTACCAACTGAATATTTGTGTCCCCAAAAATTCATGTGTTGAAACCTAATCCCCAATGTGATCGTATTTGAAGGTTGGGCTTTCAGGAAATGACTAGGTCATATCGATGGAATGCTAAGGAATGGGATTAATGTCTTTATAAAAGAGACTCCGGAGAACTCCCTCACCTCCTAACACCATGTGATGATACAATGAGAAGACAGATGCCTATGAACCAGCATGTGGACCTTCACCAAACAGACACCGAATCTGCTGGCAACTTGATGTCTTGGACTTCCCCAGGCTCTGGAGCTGTGAAAAATAAATCTCTGTTGTTTATAAGCTACCCAGTCTATGGTTATAACAACGTGAATTGACTAAGACATATATGTACATATACTTTTTGGAGAGCCAGAGGTTAAACTGGCTAGAGGAGGCATAGACCTCAATGTCATTCGCCAATTTGATACCTGCACTCCATCTCCATCTCATACCTATGGTCATATGGAAGATTTCTTTTGAGCATCCAACAGAAGAGGAAAAACCCAGGGCTTGGTTCATTTTGAATATGCTTAGTAGACAAGTGTAAGCATTATAGTGCTACTTGGGAATGGCTACAAATGAACCCAATTGTTTGGCTCCACTAGCTTAGCTGTTTGAGCTGATCTAGCTTAGCTACTACCACCTCTGAATATACAACCTGACAGCAACAAAGACCCAAAATGGCACTACCCCCCCTAGGATACCAACTGGCCACCTCATGGCAAATTTACTACATCAGGTCCCTTCTATCCTGGAAAGGCTTTGGGGTTCTTCTTGTAGGAATAAGCAACTCTCCTAGTTATGAGTTTACTTTAACTGCTTACTAAATCTCAGCCAACATCACTCTCCAGGAGCTTACAGAATGCCTGATTTCATACAATATACCATCCGGTGGGAGTTCCCACTTCACAGGGAGGAAGGTGTGGTTGTGAGCTCATTGTCATGAGGCGCACTGGTTGGATCACATGGCACACCCTCCAGAAACAGACAGTCTGATCAAGCACTGTATTATCCTGCTGAAAGTGCCTCTGAAGAGCCAGTTCGCAGGCCCCTCACATATGAAGTGCTCTCCTCCAAGGTCCTTGTCTGTGGCTGTGTCCTAGTAGGAAGAACACCTGAGATTCGGGAAAAAAAGATTGGAAGCAGGAATGGTCCCTGGAGAACATTGTTCTTCCTGTCCCCCAGACCCCGGGCTCTGTATGCATAGAGGTTTTTGTCTACTTTAGAGGACAAAGCAAGGCACCCATTGACCTAGGACTGCTCCCTGACACTTTGGACATCTGGTGTCCAAGGGCTGTCAAGGGAGAAAAGATATAGCATCTTGGCAGGTGTAATTGACCCAGATCAGAAGGATTAGGTAAGGTTGCTCTTACAAAATGAGACAGAATAGGGGCACCTAGGGGGTTCAGTCAGTTCAGCATCCAATTCTTGGTCTCAGCTCAGGTCATGATTTCATGGGTTGTGAGACTGAGCCCCTCATTGGGCTTTTGGCTCAGCAAGGAGTCTGCTTGAGACTCTCTCTGCCTCATACCCCCACCCCCAACTCCTACACTCTCTCTCTTTTTCTCAGATTAAATCTTAAAAAAAAAAAAAAATGAGGCACAGTAGAATATGTGAAAAAGCCAGGTGGTCCACTTGGGTGCCCCTTGGTATTTCCTTGCCCAAATGTAACTGTCACTGGGCATGCACAGCAATGCTGGCCTAAGAAGGAGGTGGTTAAATGCCTCAGAAATAAGGCATTTAAGGACTCAAATGCCTCAGAAATAAGTGTGCAAGTTACATTGCCAGGTTGTAAAAGAAAATCTCTTTTTTTCCCACTCTACTCTCTGCTACTACCACACTCACACACTGTTGGCCACCAAATGTAGGGGAGGAGGATTCTCACATCAAGCAGTTCTCTGACACCAGCTGGGTGTCCTATAATAGAACTCAATTTCTATACTCTCTACCTGGAGACACCTTCAAATCCCACAGGTCAAGGTCATGGTCCCACAAGACTGCCTCTGCTCCAGATGCCAGTCACAAATCTGGGTGGTCACCTGTGCTTCTGACATGCAGGCTGTAAAAGGAGGCTTCCACCCCCCTCACCTTGGTTTTAAAAATTTGCTAAAATGGGCAGCCCAGATGGCTCAGCAGTTTAGTGCAGGCTTCAGCTCTCGGCCTGATCCTGGAGCCCTGGGATCCAGTCCCCATGTCAGGCTCCCTGCATGGAGCCTGCTTCTCCCTCTGCCTGTGTCTCTGCCTCTCTCTCTCTCTCTCTCTCTGTCTCTCATGAATATATAAATAAAATCTTTTTTTAAAAAAATTTGCTAAAATGGTTCATAGATCTCAGGAAAATTGGTTACTTCCTAGATTACAAGTTTATTATAAAAGAATGCAACTCAGGAACGGCCAGATGGAAGAGTTGCATAGGACCAAGTGTGGGAGAAGGGACGTGAAGCTTCCCTGCCTTCTCCAGGCCCACCAGCCTCCCTGCATCTCCATGTGTTCACCAACCTGGAAGCTCTCTGAACTCCTTCAGTGAGGGATTTTTATGGTGGCTTCATTACATGATAGGCATGATTGATTAAATTGTTGGCTATTGGTGATTGACTCAACCTCCAACCCTTCTCCTCTTCCTGATCTTCCAGAAGGTTGTGGGCGGGAATGGAGAGGTGGGGAGGTTGAGGGGGTTGGAGAGGAAGGGAGCGGAGGTGGAGCTGAAAGTTTGAACCCTCTAATCATAGGTTGGTTGCCCTGGCAACCAGCACCCGCTCATCCTTAGGGGTTTTCTAAAGTCACCTCATTAACATAGACTCTGAAATGGTTGAAAGGGCTTGTGAATAACAATGACACTCCTCTCTCATTTATCCCTCTTATCACTTAAGAAATTCCAAGGGTTTTAGGAACCCTGTTCCAGAGGAAGACCAAATGTACATTTGCTATAAATCACAGTATCACACAGATAAACCACCCAGCACTGCAGAAGTGAGAGATGGGAGTGAGAAGAACTTAGACTGGATCATGAAGGAGGAAGGACAATGAGTATGGATTGCAGCCCTGAGAACAACTGTTGTTCCTCCTACTAGCCTTCCTCCACCTCTCCCTTATAGAACATATGTGATTGCATTTAGAACCCACCCAGATAAATCCAGAATCATTTCCCCATCACAAGATCCTTAACTTAATCACATCTGCAGAACCCCCTTTTCCAAGTAAGATAACATTTATGGGTTCCAGGGATATCTTTAGGGGCTATAATTCAACCTCCTTCAGGGCGCAACCTCCTTATGGACAGGTCTGTGACAAGGCTATCCAAATGGCTCTCAGACTGCCCAACATTACTTATGATTCTAAAACTATCACTCTAATGAAACCTGGTATTCTTTAACTTAGATAGTATGAGGATAGAATGACCGTCTTTTGCTGTTACAGTTATTACAGCCTGGGGGATAATTTGGCAAGTTTTATTTTTATTTTTTATTTTTTTTGATTTGGCAAGTTTTAACAACAAAGTTTGTTGTTAAAAACTGAGATGAGAAAAAAAAAAGTAAGAGAAGATTGAAATAAAAACATAGACACTGAGAATGAGAAAGATAATATGGAATCAGGGGAATAAGAAATAGGAGACATAGGTAATATAAAAAATTGTTTACACCATAAACTGAGAACTAAAAGTTTCCTCGAATGGCAATTGTGAATAAATGTATTTCTCTGTGGAAAGCCTCAAAGCCATCCCCTTGGTGAATACTAAGTAGCTGAGCTAGCAAATTTAACCTCCCAGTTATGTAGTGAGAGAGTTAACATTCTACTGATGCCAGTTAGGCCACTTCTAA